AAGATTCTCTCAGGATAACCAGATGACTTTTTCCACGGTGCACGCATAAGCTTATTCTAAGATGAAAGGTTCTAAGTACAGATGGCAGAAGAGGACTTTGAAATATTAAGCAATTCCTGCCTTCCCCGCACCCCCCCCACCTCTTCTTCCCTTTACCTGATTCATTCTCAAGAAGCAGTGACGTAGGTGATGCTTGGAGCATTTCCCAGGCTGCTGAATTTCCAACATCTCGCCCTCAGAAAAAAAAAAAATGCAAAGACTTTATATGCATAATAAAGTAACTAGCAGTCACTGGAAACTTTCTATGTGCCAGGCACTATTTAAAGCATGTTTTTATCTCTTGCTTTTCATTATAACCCAGTACGATAGGTATGGTTACCATCTCTATTTTACAGATGAGAAAACAGAGGTACAGAGAAATGGAGCATTTTGCCCAAAATGGCACCTCTGGTGCTCTAAGGTTAAGTGCTTGTGTTCTCCCCAAATTCAATGTTGAAATCCTACCCCCCCCCCACCCGGCCCAGGTGATGGTATTAGGAGGCGGGGCCTCTGGGAGGTGATTAGATCATGAGAGTAGAGCCTTCATGATGGGGATTAGGGCCCCTGTAAAAAGACAACCAAGAGAGATCTCTCACTCCCTCTGTCAGGTGAACTTACAGCCCCCCCCCCCAAAAAAAAGGTGACCAACCAGGAAACGAGCCTTCACCAGACACTGAAATCTGCAGGCACCATGATCGTGGACTTCCCAGCCTCCGGAACTGTGTTGCTATAGTAGCCCGAATGGACCCACATGCCTGCCACGTGGCCAAGCTGGATCACTGATACACTGGTGTGTCCCCACAGCTACGTTCCTAACCCTTGCGTGCGTCTGTTCCTTCCCGGGGCAGGATGTTCCGGGGAAAACGCACTCAGTGTCACCACCTGTGAAGGGAGGGACTTCTGCAGGATTGGGGAGGAGAAGAAGTTGCACTGAGCGGAGTCTCTGTGAAGGCCTCAGCTGCCCACGGGAGGAGCTCCGAAAGTGAAGGGGCCTGTCAGCATCGTGCGGAGCTGGGGGAAAGCATTTGGGTCTTTATAGTCTGGCATCAGCCAGTCACTGGGTGAAGGTTGCCCTGAGGTGGGGCATGGCTTTGGATGGAGGCAACTCTTCAGCTGTGGCAGATCTCACAAGGGTGCCCGGCCCAGGGCTGGCAGTGGGCAGCACTCCCCCCCCAGTAGCTGGGGGATGCGCCCTTCAGTCCCAAAGGGGGTCTGGGTGGCATACTACTGTGTCCACTGCATGAAGGAAGAAGCCCTGCAAGAGTGGGATTGCTTGCCTCAGCCTGATCCCACAAGGGAGCGCTGAGCACGAATTATGTCTCAGAGTTTGTGCCAACTTGAGATAAGAGAGCTGGGCTTTCATATTCCCTCACCCATCAGTCTTGGCTAAAAAGCACGCTGGGAGGGGGGTGTTTGGGGATCGACTCCTAGAGACGGCAGCCTCTGTGCATGTGCGTGAGCTCAGACAGAGTGGCTCCAACAGCCCCAAGGTGGGACTCAGAAGGAGGTCACAGGGGCAGGCCATTAAAAACAAAGGCACAGAGAGCCAGGGACTGACCCGAAGTGACAGTTGAAGGATCCCCGTGATCTGGCTGATGCACCCAAGGTATCCATGACAGCTTCTGTAGATCCGAAGGGATTCCACAAGCTGAGGGGAGCGCTGAGTGAGGAGAGAAACCGGGTCACTAGGAAAAGCATCTGCTAAGGGAGCACAGAGCCTCAGCTGAGGCTGAAGGAAGGGAGAGGTGACTCTGGCAGGGAAGGTAGACTCTAGAGCAGAGAAGGCTGTGTAGGGGCTGCTCTCAGAGTGGAAGCCCCTAAAGAATGCCACAGACCTGGGAGAGGCAGGGAGGTGGTGGGGGTTTTCCAGAGTGTTCTATGTCCCAGGGTGGGTGAGAGTCGTAGAACAACCCCGTGAATGGGAGAAGGCAGAACGATGGGGTCATGGGAGTGGCCATCTGTGTGGTGGGTATTCGGGGACCAGGGCAGCCGATGGGCACCTCAGCGCATGCCAGCGTGAATGCAGAGCTACAGGGACCTATACCCCACCCGGCATCTTGGTAGGACAGCATCACCCTGGAATTTACATGCAACCTCAGGAGAAAGAGGGGACCCTAAACTGACCGAGAATACATTCCATCTACCTGGACAGATGGAGGCTCAGAATAGAAATGGAATTCAAAGGAAAGAAAGAAAATTAAATTTCCTACCCACATGCATTTACAGGCCGAGTTTGTTGAGGCCACGTGTAGTAACTATAAACAAGGTCTTCTAGAAACCTCTGAACTCTATACGTGGATGCTTCACACGACAGGTGTTTGTAATGCCTGTTTTAGCTCAGCATAATTACTGTTTTGTGAAAGTGTTCTTTTTCTTACATAAAGAAGGAATTACACCGTGATACACCACGCAAGGGCTGAATCAACTGACCAAGGCACAGAGGATTACTCGAGTACAACACAGGCCCCTAAGGCAGAGAATAGACTTTATGGACATCGCTTTGATTCTCTGTCTGCAGTCCTGACACCATAACCCGTGTGCCCAACACAGAACGTGGGGGGGGGGTGGGGCACAAAGCCACACACACACACCTGCACCTCGTCTGAGGCCATTATCTCTTATTTTTCCTTCCTTCATGCCATTTTGACCTGGAAGGACAAAAAAGCTAAGGCACGCATGCGGGCTTGGAGCGGTGAACATGCGTGTGCGTGCGTGTGCGCATGCGTGCGCGTGCGTGCGCGTGTGCGTGCGTGTGCGCGTGCGCATGCGTGCGTGTGCGCGTGCGCGGTCCGTTTCCAGCCAGGGTCTGGGAGCTGCGGTTTCCGGGCTTGGAGCTTTCTTTGTGTTTCAAAGCCCCCTTCAAGGTTTACCACCAACCAGGAGAACAATGGGAAGTGGGCTGCAGCTTGTAAATGAGCAGAAAGACGCGACTGACTTTGGGCTACTCTGGTGGGGTAAATGGACTATAAAATGCAATTTTAAATTAAATAGGTGCTTTATGGACAGCACGATATTGATTTTGTTTCCCACGGGCAGACGCTGAAGAATGGCGTGCAGCCCATTTGTGTGAGTGTGTGTGAGTGTGACAATTTGGGGAGAATAGAAGGGTGAATTTTAGTTGAACTTAACTGCCCGGAAAGGACTCAAGGATTAATACCTTTGGTCTTTCAACTCTTCTTAGTTTTGAAATAAGGACTCTTCCCCCTGCTAACCTGCGTGCTTTTTATAGCCCTTGTCAACCCCTTTCAAAAAAGTCCCCCTCCTCCACACGGGTCACGTGACACTTCTGAGGCTCTTCCTCCTCACGCTCGCCTTCTATTCCCTGCAATGGGGTGACAAGATAAGCCACTCCTGACATCCAGAAGCAGAAAGATATTGGTGCCTTTCCATCATTTTACCACCAATATCCCATCCACCTCTCCAGAAAACAAAAATAGGATGTACCAGATCACATGTAGAGGACCCTGGGATTCTTCCTCCAAAGTGCTGCTTAAAAGGTGCCTTTGGGTACATATAAACATTTCCAACATCCTCAAGATTTGAAAGGCAGTGCTGGCCCCTGAGCAAAGCAGAGAATTGAGAGATGTCTTACTGACCTCCCCTGTCCACGCCTTTTAAGCCTTTGTAGCAAGTCTTGCATAGCCCCAAACTGAGAGCCTAGTATTTTCTAGAATGTTCCATCAAGCAAAAGAGTGATCGGATTAACTCATGCACAGTAAGACTTTAAAGCATTTGAAGTTAAAAGAAAAAAAAAATCTTGAAAGATAGGCTTAATCCTTGGCAGGGATGGGAAGAAGAAGCATTCTCTTTTACACTGCCTATGGGGGAGAATTTGGTGTATTAAAATCCTAATCTGTTAGCCCCTTGACTTACTAATTCCCTTTCTAGGACTTTATCTTAATGAAATAATTGGGGATATGTACAAAATTGTGTGCACTTGGATTCATTGTAGTGTGATTTATATCCACAGACTGAACATAATGTAAATTAAAAAAAAAAAAAGTGCACTAAGATTATATAGAGTCAAGAAACAGAAGCCAAGACAAGCCAGCCTAAGCAAAGGTGTGGGGGTTGGTGACATAAACATGTCTTGTGGAACTGACATGTTTATGTCAGGGGAGCAGGGGAGCCCTGCCTTTGATATCTGTGGCCTGGGACAAGGGGACAAATGAAGGTCCACATTCCAGATGTCTGATTATTTAAGAATTATACACCAAGCAAACATAATGTTTTGACATTCTACCTTGGCAAATATGCCCTCAAAACAACCCGGAATGCCAGACTTCTCAGGGTTTTGTGCCAGAAAATGCTGCACATGGAGAGCCAGACTCTAGTCCTGGGCCCCTTGGTCCCCGGATGTGACCTGCCTTGTTTATCTTTTCACCTCCTGGTCTGCCCTGCATCTTGAGGGATCTTGCTTACACATCACACTTGCGTGGACTTACTAGCCCACCCATTCAAGTCCATCCTTACCCCCTGCAAACAACCACTCTCACCTACTCTTTGGATATTGGGGTGCATATACCAGCAAGGTGACATGCCTTTGAGAGGACAGACCCACCCAGGGAAGGGGTCCACCCAGGCCCTCGAGTGGGCTGGGACATTTGTGCTGGGAATTCAGGGATCCTGGTTACCCCGAGTGTGGTCCAGAAATGAGTATGGGTTTCAGATGGGCACATCCCTTAGCCTCCATGGGGAGGGCTTGGTTGGAAGAGAGGTGGAGCAGAGATCCCAAGGCAGGGGACTCCGTGGGAGGAGGCTCAAGGCAGGTGTTCCTCCCAGGAACCTCAGGAAAGGACTTGTGTTTAGTTTCCCATGGCTGCCGTAACAAAGTACCACACACTAGATGGCTTAAAGCAAAAGATTTATTCTCTCCCAGTTCTGGAAGCCAGAAGTTTGCAATCAATATGTCAGTGGGGCCATACTCCTTTTGGAGGCTCTAAAGGAGAATTTTTGTTTGCCTTTCCAGCTCCTGGGGGCCTCAAGTTACAGCCTAACTGTAATCTTTTCCTCTGACTTTGCATGGTTTTTTCCTGTCTCTGTGCCCCTCCTTTTCTTATAAGGATATAAATCATTGGGTTTAGGGCCTGCCTTAAATCCAGACTGATTTTATCTTGAGATCTTTAACAAATTACATCTGCAAAGACCCTATTGTAAGGCTATATTCCAAGGTTCTGAGTGGACATAAATTTTGGGGGGACACTGTTCAGCCCACTACAGCACTAAAAATGGCAACTGAGAACTGAGATAGGAAAAAAAGTGGAAATTGAAAAATCACAGAGAACCCAAGAAGTTACTTTTTTTTTCATCTCTGTCTCTGCTTCACTCTAAAAGTCTATTCCATTCATCTGTGTCTTAATCAACTGTTTGTTTCTGCTCTCTTCCCCGTGGGAAGGTCTAGTTGCCCCACAGCTACCAATGATGGTACACAACCCCACCTAAAACTGGGAATCCATAGACCCCAATTCCACTCCTGGGGGAGAGAATCTTCTAAGCTGAACTTAGATCATGGGTCCACTCCAGGCTGATGGATTTTGACCAGAGGGATGGTGTCAAACCTGTATCATAACCATAGAGCAAAGACAGTTAGTTCTCTGGGTTGGCTTGTGGACTGAAGTGACACCCCAAACAATGTCTAATATACAGAGAATTGGTTAAATTATGCTCTGACCATAGGAAGGAAGACTGCATAACTATTAAACTATTGTGTTTTAGAACAAATGCTAATGGCAAGTCAACATGAGAATAATTAAGTGGGAAAGCAAGTGATGAAGCAACATATATATATATATATATACATATACATATATAATACTGTACCCACATTATTAATAAACACAGACACACACTCATAGAGTTAAGGATAGAAGAATATACACCACCACATTTACAGCAGTATCACTAGATGATAGATTATGCGTGGGTTTTACTTTTTTCTTTTTCCAAAATTTACTTTTAAATTGCTTAATATTTTATTAATGTCCAAAGAATGATTTCTAACACAAAGGAATGATTACTTAATAATGGAATTTGAGACATAGTGAGAGAAAATTTGGGATAATAAGTCTAGGGGACATTGATTGGTTATTTGCCTAATATGCAAAGTTTCCTCTTTTTCTGGACTTCCCTGTCATGATCACCTGTAGACTCTGGATCCCAAGGGGCAGCCATATTCTTCCATGTGGACCATAGGCAGAGATCAGTCGGCAGAGAGGAGCGAAAATAATGAAGCTGATTTCAAAACAGGGACAGAGATGACAAACATAGATCTGGATAGCCCTTCAGTGTGATTTAAGCCCTCTCTAAAACCTGTTGACATTTCTCTCTTGAGTTTGTTCTGATGCTTTATATCTATCATAAATGTCTTCTTGTGTTTAAACGGGCTTGAGTTGATTTCTGTTGCTTGCCAACAAAGAGTTCTGAGCAATACCACATCCTTCACAGTTCTTTGAAATCATAATACACAAGTGAGCCTCGTCTAAGTTCTAAGAAGAGTTCTTTAGAGCTGAGACCCAACCCTCCAGATAAAGCTATGCCCTTGGGTGCCTGAGGCACAAGCCAATGAGTAAGGAAAAAGTAATAAAAGGGAGAGGTGATGAGAAGGAAGAGATGAGCAAGAGGCAGATCAAAGAGAAAGCCAGGGGAAGGGGGATAGGAGGGTCATATAAGGACAGAGTTCTAGAATCTAGAATGCCAACAAAAGTCATTTCAGAAGGCCCCTCATCCCTGGCCTTTGGTCATCTTCAATTCACAGTTCCATGAACAGTGAATTGTCTTCTATGCATGTCAAATGAGTTCCAAAATCAGTTGAGTTTTTACGGACTTGATCTACAGGGTCATCAAGTTGGTCAGTACATTCAACCCAATGCATCTAAATTCCTTCACTAGTCGTAGAAACCATCCCAAATCTTGGATATTTGGGGGAGACATTATTTCTTAACACCACATGCTATGGATAACCGCAAACTGGGTAGTTGCGTGTGACCAACATCTCTCTAACAACAAATTCCATTTCTCAGTACTTTCTAAGAAAATGTATCTCAGGGACCTTTGAAAAAGTCAAGTGATCCTTCTGTATGGCCTCTTTGATAAAAATGTATTACTGTCGGTGTTTAAAAATAAATTTCACCTTAACAGACTATGATCTATTGAATGAGAATCCACAAGTCCACACTGATATAAATAAATTTTTTTAAATGGGAGAGAAAGGAAAGTGGAATGCCAACTAAGAAATGTGGAAAGAATGATGAAATTATCATCTGGCCAACACCACAAATACAACTGATACAGGCCAGAAACATCAGTGGATGCTAAACCTGGTGGGTATGAACTTGATTACAAACAGGATACTGACTTAACTGTCAAGTATCTCCCCATAAAATTATTAGTAACGACAAAGAGGAAAACAGCAACTTTATATAGTAGAGAGACCCAGCAGACTGAACTTTAGCCAAGTGATCAAAATTATTAGCCTCAACGCTAGTTGGACAAATCGATACCACGTGCATCCTGATACAATGTGTGAGAGGGACACATCCCTTCTAAGACATTCCTGCCCAAAGCAACATAATCGGGATCTAATCATGGGGAAGCATGAGACAAACCGAAATTGAGGGACATTCTACAAAACTATCAAGTTCATGAAAGACAAAGAAAGACTCTAGAACTATTCCAGTTTAACAGAAGATAAAGGAACAGGACAATTAAATGCAGCACGTGGTCCTTGACTGAACCCTGAACCAGAAAAAAACAATTATTGTATTTTGCTATGAAGTAGATTATTAGGGAAGTTAAAGAGAATTGAACAAGGTCTACCAATGAGGTATTATCTAAATGACTTCGGGGTGAAAAGACGCAATTCCTACAATGTAATCTTAGTTCAGAACAGAAAATTATATATCTTATTAAATATATTATTAAAGTTTCATATCTACATACACACACATATATATGTGTGTATCTCTATCCATCTACCCATCCATCCAGAGGGAATAACAAAGCAACATGGTAAAGACAAAATAGTAACATTTGGAGAAGCCAAGTGAAACTGTTATGGGAATTTTTTGTTCTATTGCGACTTTTCTCTAAGTCTGGAATTATTTGGGAATAAAAATAAATACTGCACAAATCCCTCAGGACCAAGCAGTAGTGGCCCATTTTCCTGGTAGTTGATAAAATGTCATTTTGTCCCAGCAAAATGTCAGCCTTGACTTCATCATGAAGGTGACTCAGTTCACTTCCCAAGTCCCACTGTTACTCTTCCAGCTGCTTGGCGTTTGTCAGCCCTGGCCTTGTCCCAGGCCCTGAGTGCACCTGGAGGTCTTCCCTCGGTGTCCACGTGGGCAGTCGTGGCTTGTCGAGGCTGGAAGCATCCACGGTCCTGACTCAGAAGCCAGGGGGCTCCTCACATCCTCTTCCCAGGACCGCGGGGACGAGGGACTGCCCTGGGCTGGTGGATGGCAAGGGGAATTCTGCTCCCTTCCAGGAAGGACCCAAACAGCAGGCTGTGGAAGGAGGTAAGCTTGGGAGGGAGGGAAAACATCTCAGTTTTTACCCCTTTTTCCAGGAACAACCTGTCAACCCTCAGAAATGCTTTTTAAAGTTTTTTTTTTAAACTTCTAACCAGGGATGCCTGGGTGGCCCAGACGGTTAAGCGTCTGCCTTTGGCTCAGGTCATGACGCCAGGGTCTTGGGATCGAGTCCCGCATCGGGCTCCCTTCTCAGTGGGGAGTCTGCTTCTCCCTCTCCCTCTGCCTGCCACTCCCCCTGCTTGTGCTCTCTCTGACAAATAAACAAAATCTTTAAAAACAAAACAAAACAAAACAACTTCTAACCATTACTATCCTAACCATAAACCTAACCATTACTATCAAATATTCCTTCTTCTGGGTTCCCTAGCACTTCAGAAAAATTAATCCTTCCCTACTAGAATTCAGAACATACCCTGCCTTCTACACACACACACACACACACACACACACACACATGCACTGAGGACATCTCCTGTCTCGGTCTCCCATTACTCACCCAGCACCCAGATCCTTCGGCTTTACTGTTGCTCCCCTGGGGAACCATAACCCTCCCAGCAAATCCTTTACCTCCAGAAAGAAAAAAAGGAAACTGAAGGTCACTGGTTAAGTGTGACATCTGGGTACCACGTAGCAGGGCTCCAGGTGGGAGCAGGGTAGCGCTGGTTTTCTGGGAAATTATAAATGCCCAGTGTAAGATATCTATGTCTGGTTCTGTCAGACACATCATAAAACCTTGGAACTTACATGCTGCTCGTGAACGTCCTTCACAGTTAGTTGTCTTTCCTTAGCATTTCCAGTAGGTCCTCCATTGAGGGTAGGAAAAATATATATGTCCCCGAAAGGACATAAATGAAACACTTCAGACATGAGGCCAGACCATGTGGTCATCATCACACTGCTGTTCTTCATGGTTTAATTTAGGCAGTGATTCGAAGTGTCAGGAGCCAGCCCTCGGGTACTCAATGATGAGAACTCAGAGGGACCCTCCACGAGTCACTGTCTGGACAAGGTTTGGCTTGCGATGGAATTGGCAGGAGCCCAAGGGTGGTAGAGAGATGGTCGTGTCTGGGAAGTGGCTAAGTCTCCAGGTGAACGCCTACTGGCCAATGGTAACTCGGTGTCCTGTGACAGTGATGTGGGGCTCACAGACAGGACGCACCTTTTGGGATGGGAGTAGAAGACAGACACCACGGGACTGGGGACGTCACAAGTAATTTGCAAGAGCAGTGGTTTCCAAGGGACCTTTCAAGAAAATGTTTTTCCTTGAAATGTTGAGTTCACTTAGAGCTGCGACTGGTTCACTGGGTCTGCCTGGCGGATGGCGGGGGGATGTTGATGGACCCCCGATGTGGAGGAAAGCAGGTGCAGTGGACTCGGGTGAAGAAATGTGGTGCTTGCTTGCTGGGCAAGAGTTTGGTCCCTCTTCAGGAGCAACTGGGCAGGACTGACTACAGATTAAAGCTACGTGATTTACTGCAATTGTAGTAAATCTCTCTCAGGAGGTTGTCCAAAGCTTTTCTTAATTTGTGCTCATGTGGATTTCCATCCTGGCCATCCATTACATAGAGATGGTATGTTTCAAAGTCAGACTCGGCGAAACCCCTGGAGCGTGCACCTTAGCCACTGGACATCATAATATCTTATGTTGGTGCCAATGGAAGAAGATGCTTTCAAAGACTTGGATGAAGTTTCGCTTGGAAAACTTGTTTTTAAGTGCCTGGGGAGTGATAGATAATCTCAGAGCAGAGCTGGAAACTGCTGGTGCCGTAAGCTACTGAGCCAGATTTTGCTCTCAAACTTTGGGCCCAGAAATCTTCCTGGTAAGCAACTTAGTTATTCCCAAAGAGAGGTCAAGTGTTTACCCAAACTGCCAAATCTGAAAGTGAGTTCTTTAACTTAAAATAATGTTTCACAATGCTCAAATAATTTGCCAAATGCGTTCTCGTGTCTCCTTCACAAGAATCTTTAAGAAATGCATGCTATCTTTCAACAAATATTTCTGAGTGCCTCATCAGCTTTGTAACCGGGGATAACATGGTGGGGACGGACAGGCACGGTCTCTGCCCTCACAAATGTAGTGTGTTCTGGAAGAAGACAATAATTATGAATGTTACTTATTTCCAGAGCAGAACAGCAATGTCTTTTGTCAGTTTTACTGAGGAGAAAACTCAGGCTCACTGAGGATCAGGGATAATTCTGCATGCTCAGAACTAGAGGAAAGAGCTGTTACCCTTTCTATTATGGTATCCTGTTTCTTAGGGCATGTAACTTCAATTTGATTATTTTATTAGATAACATTTCTTTGTCATAAAAATGTAAATTCAGGGGGCGCCTGGGTGGCTCAGTTGGTTAAGCGACTGCCTTCGGCTCAGGTCATGATCCTGGAGTCCCGCGATCGAGTCCCGCATCGGGCTCCCTGCTCGGCAGGGAGTCTGCTTCTCCCTCTGATCCTCCTCCCTCTCATTCTCTCTGTCTCTCATTCTCTCTCTCTCAAATTAAAAAAAAAAAAATGTAAATTCAGGAGAGAATTTGCAGTGTAAAAATAACTAATATTATAGGAATTTATTAAATCTAGACAATTTCTTCTGTTTATTTTATTTTTTTGGCCCATTTTTGTTGTACCAGTAATTTCTGATGAAGTAAAGTCCATTGCATACAATTGCAGGGGCACTACAACTTAGGCTAAGTCATGACTAAATATAGCTTCTCAAATCTGTCCCTCTCCACAATGCATTGCCGCTTCCCAAAATAGCCATACAAGGAAGACTTACAAGAGTAATTGTTCACTCCTTCCTGTCTACTCAGTGCTCAGCACAATAACGGGCACATAGTCACTATATAAATGTTGAATAAATGAATGATCAGTTTCAATATTGGGTTTTTTTTTTTTATGTTTTTTTTTTTATTCTTATGTTAATCCCCATACATTACATCATTAGTTTTAGATGAAGTGTTCCATGATTCATTGTTTGTGCACAACACCCAGTGCTCCATGCAGAATGTGCCCTCCTCAATACCCACCACCAGGCTAACCCATCCTCCCACCCCCCTCCCCTCTAGAACCCTGTTTGTTTTTCAGAGTCCATCGTCTCTCATGGTTTGTCTACCCCTCCGATTTCCCCCGCTTCATTCTTCCCCTCCCGCTACCTTCTTCTTCTTCTTTTTTTTTTTTTTCTTAACATATATTGCATTATTTGTTTCAGAGGTACAGATCTGAGATTCAATAGTCTTGCACAATTCACAGCGCTTACCAGAGCACATACCCTCCCCTGTGTTTTAAAGAAAGCAAACCTTATGTTTTCCTTCTTTCTTCAGATATGTGATCTTAAATTATGTGAACTACCCTGATTATTCACTAGAACCTATACAATCAGTAAAAACCAATGTCAAGGTGAAATAGTCTTAATCTTATATATAAATATTTTAGTCAGCCAAACTCATTAAGGAGAGTTGATTCTTAAATAATTTCAGAAATTTGTGGGGGAGTCTGGATGGCTCAGTAGGTTAAGCGTCTGCCTTCGGTGCAGGTCATGATCCCAGGGTCCTAGGATCGAGTCCCACATCGGGCTCCCTGCTCCTAGCAGAGTCTGCTTCTTCCTTTCCCTCTGCCTCTGCCCCTTGCTTGTGCTCTCTCTTTCTCACTTGCTCATGCTCTCTCTCTCACTTGCTCGTGCTCTCTCTCTCAAATAAATAAAATCTTAAAAACATTATAGTACCTTGTCATAATAAGATGTCTTAAAAGATCTTTTCCAAAAGGGATGGTTGAGTTGAGAATGAGTTGAAATGTATACAAACATATTTGGAATCATCTTGAAACATGTTTCAATGTGACTGTTCACTGTGTGTCTTTTATATGACTTCAATTTCATTAGGCTGACCACGACATTCAGAATTTATAGCCACTATTTTCTGCAGTGACCAGATTATAATTCTTGAACTTTTTGTTTCTACTGGGGGCAAATAAAGGCCTGAGTTAAAAAAAAAGAACAGCAGCCAAACAAGGAGGAGAGCAGAAGATGAAGAGCTTTAACAGAAGATGGACAAGATAACTTTGGGCAGAAGGCAAGTGAATATGTTCTGTGGCCTTTCTAAGGAGTTCTGTGCTTCAGAGGTGTTTCACATCATTGTGTAATGAATGCTTGAGCATGTACATGGAGTTCTAAATTGTCACCACTTGGCTTTGGCCCACCCCAATGGCATGTTCCTCTTGTCCAACAATACCTTAGCTCGTGTTGTATGGTTGACCCACTTGGAAAAGGGATGGGATCAAGTCCTGTGCTTGCAGTGACTGGCCAGAATTTGTAGTGTCAGGCTGTGGTTGGTTCCATTCCTGGATCTTTTGCCCACATGGATGGTGGTTTAAGACATTTGATGAAGTTGAAGCATCATGTTGTGAGTTTTTTCTAAACCAAAGAATTAGTTCCACCACCAGAAGGGAATGCTTGTTAAAAAATGGGTCAGAGTCATTCAAAATGTCAGGCTCTATTTTGCAGAATAATCTTGTTTTCTTCTTTTATTTATTGCTCAATAAACTGAATGTTCATGGGAAAGAATTTGTAGGCATCCTAGTATTTGTCTTTGGAATGCATTTTCCTACATATGGTAGCACACAGCATCTGCATAAAGGACTGTGGACAGAAATCTTTTACTGCAGTTCTTCATTACAAATACAAGAAAACTGAAGGACGGAGAGCTTAAGGAACTTGTTCAAGGTAATCAGATTAGTTAGTAGCCAAAGCTAAAACCCAGGACTCAACATTCCCAGTATTTCACGTATAATTTCATAAGCCCATGCAGACATTCCAAACCAGATTCCTCTCCCTCTCCCAAGCTCAATCTTGATTTGAGTATCATTTTTTTCTGGAACTAATTACAAATTTACAGTTTAGGCACCAAGCCAGGTCCAACTATTATTTCTTCAGGCTCCATCAGGGTAAATATAGGGAGCGATTTTCTGCCTATGCTCCACGAATCCTCCTCAGGGG